ACCTATTTCCTGGTTTCATCGCAACCCAATCGCTATTCATCCGGCTCACCTCAAGCACCCACTCGTCCCTCGGGCTCACCATGCCTCACCATACCCCCTGAACACTTTCATCTACGTCACTTCTGGTCATCCACTTGAACACGCCTTACCTCATGAACTCTTTCTGACTCACTCTTCGCTCATCAAACAATTCGACACGACCCAACGTGCGCTAGTTCTCAGTGTCGTGAACTTAACTTCTGTTCTGACCTCTTACACACACCATATTTGCAGATTTCGATCAGTCGACTTCCTATATTACTGTTGGGATTGTAGTTTAACACGAATACGATGCGGGAACTACTCGCTGTGGCTGTCATTTTCACTTATGTCATAGGTTTGTTGCAGAAAGCTTTCCAGGAAAATTATTCAGAATAACTGTAAAACTGCTCGTGTTTACAAAATATATACGTGAATATCAACGTATTCTCAAAGCGCATGATTTTATGTAGCTGATCATAACGTAAATACGTCAGATTTAATTTTACTTTCTACTATCCGTCTGTGTTTCACAAAAACAAAATGTAATGCCCTGACGCTGCAATTTATTTTGTTAATATTTTCCTTGGAATCCTTTTTGTGCATTTGTGCGTTAGATTGTGAAAAAATACAAATATGAATTAGGCAATGGTTTAAGAGTCCATAATACTCTGTCTCTTGCTCTCATGTTGTAGGGATCACTAATTTTTTGAGTTTTAGATGTTTGTTCAGTATTTTTGGAGACTTGGAAATTTTGCTGACCTTTCCCTCTGCTGAATGATAGTCTCGCAGCGAAATCTTGAGCAGTTCAGAGCTTGTTTTCGTTGAATTCCAAGCTAAGTCTCACTATCTTCACAGCACACGACTTTGTTTGCTGAACAAGTGACCGTCTACATATCTAAATGACATCATACCCCCTCCGTAGCCAGTGTTTGTTTTGTTCAAAGAGGTTGGTCCGCTAAAGCAAAGGTAAATTAAGAAGCGAGGAAGTTCGCGCTTGCTACGAAATTGCGCATCAGTTCATTGTGGAACTTGATAGAGCCTCTCCTTACTAACATTTCATGGCAAAATGTGCACAATTTTCAGCCTCAGATGTTGGTCTCAACTTACCATGTAACCGAGAGATGGATGGCCTTTTGGCAGCTGATCCAGATGGAAATCCGACAGCATTCTTGTCTTGTCAAAGTAGTGGATCTGAGTGAGTGGTTAATGAAAGGTTTTGGCACGTTCAAAATTGAAAATTTCTTTTGCAGCTTGGCAGGCTTTTGGGAAAGA